AATCTTACAAGCAAAATCTAATATTCCTATTTCTATGTGTCCATTTACATTAAAAGTTTTTTGAAATACAGAAAAATAAGCCCAAATTAAGAAACAGACAACAGTTACCACAGAGTATTGTAATCTTTAACAGACTGTATTTTTGCCACAAGAGCCATGCCATTTATCTGGTATTTAAAATAACTACAGGATTAGTCAGGCATGGTGGCAGGTACCCGTAGTCCCAGCTACTCTAGAGGCTGAGGCAGGAGAATCTCTTGAACCCAGGAGGCAGAGGCTGCAGTGAGCTGAGATCACACCACTGCACTCCAGCCTGGGTGACAGAGAGAAACTCGATCTCAAAAATAAAATAAGTACAGGAGCTAAAAGCTACTGAGTTCTCTTTTCAGGAAAGCAGAGCCTGCACTTTAGGGAGAACCCTCCGCTCACCTGCGTAGGCAGAAGACTCCAGTTTTGCTTACTCCGAATCTGGCTGTCCACTAAGTCACCATCGCATATGCTGTCTGCTGCTCGGCTTAAAAGCATCAAGTGCTTTTTCATGTCACCCCTGCAGGAAAGAACCTGTCTGGATTATCCCACTCTTCACACCCCAAGTCCCTCCTTCACAAGTATTTAGCCTTCACACTGCTGGGAGGATACTAAGCATGCCTCTCACCAGCTCTGGATACTCACCCTGCAGCTACAGGCTTCACATGAATGTAGTTTTCCTGGACAAAGAGGGGTGCTATTGAATAATCATGAAAAAAGAGATCTGATTTGTCCACAAGTGACATGTGAGCAGTCTCCTCTCCAGCTGCAAACACTTTCCGGGCAACATCAAATGGGCCCTGAAAAAAGGGAGGGACACACCCAATAAAATGGCCAAAATTGAAAATACTAACATCACCAAATGCTAACAAGGGTATGGAACAAGAAGAACTCCATTCATTGCTGGTGGGAATGCAAAACTGTACCATTTGGTAGTTTCTTACAACATTAAACATATTCTTACCATATGATCCAGCAACCATGTTTCCTGGTATTCACCCAAATGAATTAAGAACTATGTTCACACAAAAACCTGCACACGGGTGTTTATAAGCAGCTTTATTTATAATTACCAAAAGTTGGGAGCAACCAAGATGTCCTTTCAGTAGGTAAATGAACAATTAAACTGTGGTACATTCAGACAATGTAATATTATTCAACAATGAAAAGAAGTGAGCTATCAAGTCATGAAAAAACATGGGAAAGGGGGTGGGCACAGTAGGTCACCCGGTAATCCCAGCACTCTGGGAGGCCAAAGTGGGCAGATCACTTGAGGTCAAGAGTTCCAGACCAGCCTGCCCAACTAAGTAAAACCCCATCTGTACTAAAAATAAAAAATTGGCCAGGTGTGGTGGCTGGTGCCTGTAATCCCAGCTACTCGGGAGGCTGAGGTAAGAGAGTCACATGAACCTGGGAGGCGGAGGCTACAGCGAGCCAAGATCACACCACTGTACTGCAGCCTGGGTGACAGAGACTCGGACTCAAAAAAAAAAAATAAAATAAAGACATGGAAGAACCTTATATGCTATTACTAAGTGAAAGAAGCCAATTGAAAAAGTCCACATGCTACATGATTCCAACTATACCACATTCTGGAAAAGGCAAAATTATGGACACAGTAGGATTAGTGGTTGCCAGGGGTTGTAGAGAGGAAGGGAGGAAAAGAAGAATGAATAGGTAGAGCACAGAGGATTTTCAGGACAGTGAAACATGTATACAATGGTGGATACATGTCATTATATTTGTCAAAACCATACAATACACAACACCAAGAGGGAATGCTAATGGATACGATGAACTCTGGGTGATAACGAGGTATCAATGTAGATCCATTGATTATAACAGATATAGCACTCTGGTGGGGGATGTTGGTGGTGGGAGAGGCTGTGTGTGAGGGGGACATGAAGTACGTGAGAACTCTCTGTACCTTCCACTCAATTTTGTGTGAGCCTAAACTGCTCTAAAAAAATAAAGCGTAGGCCAGGCACGGTGTCTTACACCTGTAATCCCAGCACTTTGGGAAGCCTAGGCAGGTGGATCGCAAGGTCAGGAGTTTAAGACCATCCTGGCCAACATGGTGAAACCCGTCTGTACTAAAAATACAAAAATAAGCTGGGTATGGTAGCGCGTTCCTGTAATCCCAGCTACTCAGGAGGCTGAAGCAGGAGAATTGCTTGAACCAGGATCCAGGAGGTGGAGGTTGCAGTGAGCTGAAATTACGCCACTGCACTCCAACCTGGACTACAGAAGGAGACTCTGTTAGAAGGGAGGGTAGGGTAGGGTAGGGAGGAAGGGTGGGTGGGGGAGGGAAGGGATGGGGGGAGGGAAGGAAGGAAGGAAGGAAGGAAGGAAGGAAGGAAGGAAGGAAGGA